CAGCACACGTCATCATCCTGCAAGCTGGAAGAGAAAATTCCCCATTAAACTCGGCCTGGTAACTTCTGCTGTCCAAAGCTGCTTTCCCATCTGCTCATTCGCCGGCTGCCAGCAGTGCCAGTGAGGCAGGAGCTTTCCTTCCAGTAGCTGCTGCACACTTGCTCTGGTGCGGGGTCCCTCCCAACCCGTCCCAGCCAGCTCCTGTTGGGATGGGCAGCAGAGCCTGGGGCGGAGCCCCCCCCCCTCTGGAACCTGGAGTTCCTTGGGGGGAGCCTCCTTTCCATCCACAGCCCCCAGCTCTACCTAGAGGGGCCCACAGGGGCACAGAATCATAGAATCATAGAGTTGGAAGGGACCTTGCAGGTCATCTAGTCCAACCCCCTGCACTCTGTAGGAGCACAGCCTGAAAGATAGCCCTACAACACACCCAGAAGATGGTCGTCCAGCCTCCGCTTGAAAACGTCCAGCGAAGGAGCTTCCACCACCTCCCAAGGCAGACTGTTCCACGGCTCAACCACTCTCACAGTTAGGAAGTTCCTACTGATATTTAGCTGGTAACGACTCCCTTGTAATTTCCACCCATTAGATCTAGTCTTGCAATCCGGAGCAAGAGAGAATAGAATAGATCTGCTCCATCTTCTACAGGACAGCCCTTCAGATACTTGGAGACTGCAATCGTGTCCCCTCTAAGCCTTCTCTTTCCCAGGCTAAACAGACCCAACTCTTTCAGCCTTTCCTCATAAGTCTTGGACTCCAACCCTCTCACCATCCTGGTTGCCCTCTTCTGGACACACTCAAGCTTGTCAACATCCTTCCTAAAATGTGGTGCCCAAAACTGGACACAGGACTCCAGGTGAGGCCTGACCACAGGAGAATAGAGCGGAACGACCACCTCCCGTGATCTGGACACAATGCTTCTGTTAATGCACCCTAAGATTGCATTAGCTTTCTTCGCAGCCACATCACTCTGCAGGCTCATGTTTAGCTTGTGATCAACCAAAACACCTAGATCCCTTTCACATGTGCTGCTATCAAGCCAAGTCCCTCCCATTCTATATCTGTGCCTTTGATTTTTTGTACCTAAGTGTAGGACTTTGCACTTCTCTCTATTGAAATTCATTTTATTTGTCTCAGCCCACTGTTCTAGCCTATCTAGATCATTTTGAATCCTGACTCTTCTTCAGAATTAGCAATCCCACCTAGCTTCGTGTCATCTGCAAATTTGATAAGCATCCCCTGTCTTCCTCCAGGTCATTTATAAAAACATTGAACAACACCGGGCCCAGGACCGAGCCCTGCGGCACTCCACTGGAGACTTCCCTCCACGTAGACGCAGAGCCATTGATGAGCACTTGTTGGGTACAATTTTTCAACCAACCAAGAATCCATTTAACGGTTGCACCATCCAGCCCACACTTAACCAGCTTATCCTCAAGGATATCATGAGAAACTTTGTCAAATGCAGATTAACCATTAAGGGGTGGAGATTAACCATTAAGGAGATGGCAACCCACTTCGAGTCGCCTTCGGGCAGTGTTCCCTCGATGCTGAGTTAGTGTGAGCTAGCTCCAGGGGTCATTTCCTGCAGGAGGGCACAGGAGCGGAGCTCCGGCAGTAAAGAGCCCAGGGGGCGGGCACATGCAACGAGCCCCACCCCCTGCTCCCAGCAGCCCTCAGTCAGAGCAAGAAGTAGCCAGGTAAGCTGCAGAGTTCCCCCCCCCCCCCTGCGCAGATAGCAATCCAGAACAGTCCAGTGGCACCTTTAAGACCAAGTTTTATTCAGGTACAAGCTCTCCTTCCTCTGCGAGGACAGATCTGCACGTCGTCGTCCCCCGGCCCCCCCGCAATAGCTAGCAATCCAAAACAGTCCAGTGGAGCCTGAGCGGTGGGTGTTGCCTTCTGACACACTTCTGGTGATGTCAGGGGGTGTGGCATATGCATATGAGTTATGCTAATTAGCTCCTGTCCCTCTTTTTCGACACAATGACCCCTGGCTAGCTCACAGTTTTTTAGCCTCTGGCTCACAATTTTTTCTCCCAGCTCAGGAAGGATGTGGCTCCAGAGCAAACTAATTGATGCAGGAGCCAAATCGCTCGCTCACAGCTTTAATGCCAGTAGCTCACAAAGTAGATTTTTTGCTCATAAGACTCTTACAGGGAGCCCTGCCTTCGGGTAGAGAAAAGCAGGGTATAAAAACCAATTCTTCCTTGACCTCCACACGCCAGACTGGAGCCACTGTCTGTAACACCCTTGAGTCTTATTTATTGACTATATTTATAGCCTGCCTCTTTCACTGAGGATCAAGGCGTGTCAGAGCCCCTGAAGAAATCAGTTCCCAATAACAGTCATTCAGGAGAAATAAAGTTTATTGAGACATTGCTAGGATACAGACTCTTAACGATTCTTTCTTAGAACTGAGGGCAAGCGCGCGAAGCAAGCAATTATACTAAAATCAAACAAGACATTAATGGCTATTGGCCAATTGCACCTAAACTAGAAAGCATGCCTAATTAATGGTATGAATTTCTCAGGGGAAAGAGGATACCAGACACAGATAAGTCTCAAGGGTATGTGGTTCGGTGGACAGATAACAGTATAACGGCCAGAAATGAAAGTACACATTCTTGTTCTCACACCCCACCTCTCCATGGCAACCAAGCCAGGCTGACAAGGTGGATCACACAGAGTAAGTCAATGCAGTCGATGCATTAGGATAAGAAGAAGAAGAAGAAGAAGAAGAGATTGGGTTTATACCCCACCCTTCACTTGAAATCTCAGAGTGGCTCACAACCTCCTTTCCCTTCGCCACCCCACAACAGACACCCTGTGAGACAGGTGGGGCTGAGAGAGCTCTTTCGAGAGCTGCCCTTGAGAGAACAGCTCTGTGAGAACTTGTGACTGACCCAACGTCACTCCAGCGGCTGCACATGGAGGAGTGGGGAGCCAAACCCGGTTCTCTAACATTAGAGTCCATGCACTTAACCACTACACCAGACTGGCATAAGACATCTAATAAGCAACATATTAGGACATTTAAAAAAAAAAATGCCATCAAGTCACAACTGACTTATGGTGATTCCATGGGGTTTTCAAGGAAAGAAGAAAAAGAGGAGAGAAGAGATTGGATTTATACCCTGCCCTTCACTACCCAAAGGTGTCTCGGAGTGGCTTACAATCTCCTTTCCTTCCCCCTCCCCACAACAGACCCCCTGTGAGGAAGGTGGGGCAGAGGGAGCTCTGACGGAAACTGCTCTTTTTCAAGGACAGCTCTTGTCAGAACTACGGCTTGCCCAAGTTCATCCAGCCAGGTGCAAGTGGAGGAGTGGGGGAATCAAACCTGGTTCTCCCAGATTAGAGTCCGCGCACTTAACCACTACACCAAACCGACTCTCAGAAGAAGAGGAGGAGGAGGAGGAGATTGGATTTATTCCCCGCCCTTCACTCGGAGTCTCAGAGCGGCTTACAAACTCCTTTCCCTTCCCCTCCCCACAACAGACACCCTGTGAGGTAGGCGGGGCTGAGAGAGCTCTTTCGAGGACTGCTCTGAGAGACCTATGGCTTGCCCGAGGTCATCCAGCAGGTGCAAGTGGACCTACACCAAACCACTACACCAAACAGGGGTAGGTTTGCCCTTGCCTGCCTCTGTGTCACAGCCCTGGACGTCCTTGGTGGCCTCCCAGCCAAATGCGAATCAGGGCTGACCCTGCTCATCTTCTAACATCTGACAAGAACGGGCCATCTTGGCCCATCCGGGTCAGGACTGGGGCTACCGAAAACTGAAACAAACATAGAATATCAGGCACACTGCAGAATGCAGATGCAATGCAAAAAAATAAATAAAGGGTGTTACATCAGTAAAAATTAGTGCAGTGACCAGGCTATATCTGTCTGTCAGAAGCCTGAAGCTTCAGTTCACTATCAGTCCCAAGGCACACAGCGAGCGCTCCCTGCGGGGAAGTCCCAGCTGTTCGGCATGGCGCTTAGGGCCAAACTAGGCGTGACCATGTCTTCGCGGCTGCCGCCATCTTAAGGTCATTTAAAAACATGACAAGGGTTCAGTCTGGATCGGGCCTGCAGCACTGCATTCTGGTCCCCTCCCCACCTTTTCAAACAGCCCCGGGGGGAATGGGTAGTGCAGCCCTTTCAGCGCTGGATCGGGCACGGTGGGGAAGAGCCCTGTGCTGTGGGCCCAATCAGGATCGGGGCCCCGCAGCAATCTTTCAATGACTTTAAAAATGATAGCAGCATCCCTGAGAAAAGAGAAGAGATTGGGTTTATACCCTGCCCTTCACTACCTGACGGAGTCTCAGAGGGGCTTACAATCTCCTTTCCCTTCCCCTCCCCACAACAGACACCCTGTGAGGTTGGCGGGGCTGAGAGAGCTCTTTCGAGGACTGCTCCTGAGAGAACAGCTCTGAGAGAACTTGTGACTGACCCAAGGTCACACTAGCAGCTGCATGTGGAGGAGGAGTGGGGAATCAAACCCGGTTCTCCCAGATTAGAGTCCACACTCCTAACCACTACACCAAACTGGCTCTCCCAAGAAGATGGAGAAGCAGGAGAAGGAGGAAGAGACTGAAGTTATACTCCGCCCTTCACTTGGAGTCTCAGAGCGGCTTACAACCTCCTTCCCCTTCCCCTCCCCACAACAGACACCCCGTGAAGTAGGTGGGGCTGAGAGAGCTCTGACTGAGGACTGCTCCTGAGAGAACAGCTGTGAGAGAACTTGTGACTGACCCAAGGTCACACCAGCAGTTGCATGTGGAGGAGCGGGAAATCAAACCTGGTTCTCCCAGATTGGAGTCCGCGCTCCTAACCACTATACACCAAACTGGCTCTCCATCCTGTCTACTAGTTCATTGCAGCTCGAGATAACGTTGGTCCAGCATTACCGATTTATAGCTTACGGTGATATTTTGCTTACACCGGCTTTGATTAATAAAAATTAAAGTTAAGTGAATGAATCCAAGCAATTAGGTGAGAAACGAAGCAATACCTACATGGAGACTGGCCCAAGACGTTTGCGTGTTAATGAAAGGTGAGCCGGAAAAGCTGTCTGCAGGCTACAAATTGAAACAATCGATTAGTGATGGAGTTAGACAGACGCAAATCCAACACAGAATGGCAAAAGTAAGTCTCTTTATACACACACACACAGCCTCATTTATCCAAACAGCCCATCCCAATCAGCATTCCCTCTAGGCTGAGTGAGTGTGAGCTAGCTCACAGTTTTTTAGCCTCCGGCTCACACATTTTTGCCTTCGCTCAGGAAGGGATGGCTCCAGAGCAAGCTAATTGATGCAGCAGCCAAGTCGCTCGCTCGCAATTTTAATGCCGGTAGCTCCCAAAGTAGAATTTTTGCTCACAAGATTCCACAGCTTAGAGGGAGCATTGGTCCCAATCTTATGGGCAGCCTGAAGTTCCAATAACTTGGAGCATCAATGACTTAGAGCAACCTAGATGCTGTGCTGAGCTGCATGGGTTAAGGACACATATAAGAACATAAGAGACGCCAATGTTGGATCAGGCCAAAGGCCCATCTAGTCCAACACTCTGTCACACAGTGGGCAAAAATACCAGGTGCCATCAGGAGGTCCACCAGTGGGGCCAGGACATTAGAAGCCCTCCCACTGTTGGCCCCCCCAAGCACCAAGAAGACAGAGAATCACTTGCCCCAGAGCCCCTATCTATAGTGGCTAATAGCCACTGATGGACCTCTGCGGGTGGGGGGTGAGTTTGTGCTTTTCACATTAAGCAGGGCATATGAGGTGGGTGGGCAGAAATCTTCAAGGTATTTGTCTCTTCAGGTTCTCTTCTGACATCAGTCCCAGGCTATCAATGAGAGGAAGTAAGATGGGAGAGAATTCAGCCTCTCTCACCTGAGCATCCTTTCAAGGTAAAAACCAGATGCTCCAAACTGATGCAGATATGTGATCAAACCACCCAGGGCTACATGGCCAATCCAAATGCACTTACACTGGCCAGAGAGAGCAACGCAAGAGCAATCCTATGAAAAATCAGGAGGTGTGCATTGCAGAGGTTTGGATAACAGGCTCTATATCAATAAAATTGCTGCAGCTGTTCACATATTCACAAAACAAGAATAATTATATGTTGGTATTTCTTTCTTTAATCCAAGGTTTCCTTTTCAACAGGTCAGAACATCTACGAACTTCCTCGAGTTTCAATGTTCGTTTCGAGGGATATCTTTATCAAAATTCTGTTGTGTTGTCATTCTTTCACAAAGCAATCCAATAAAGTGGTTGACAATTTCAAAATGGCTATGGGTAGCTCCCAAGTAAACAAATGGTTCCTTTTCAACGGACAATGTAAAGATATCCCTCGAAACGAACATTGAAACTCGAGGAAGTTCGTAGATGTTCTGACCTGTTGAAAAGGAAACCTTGGATTAAAGAAAGAAATACCAACATATAATTATTCTTGTTTTGTGAATATGTGAACAGCTGCAGCAATTGTTTTGTAAACTGACATATTTGATTGCTGTGCCCTTTGGTTATATTGTCTATATCAATAAACACAGACAACATAAAAGGCTTCCAGAGTTATTCAACAAAAAGCGGTCCCGGGTTCCAATCCCAGCTCAGACAACAGGTAACTTTTGGAGACCCATCTCGCGTTCTCTCTGTGCCTCAGCTCCCGAATCACTTGACATATGAAAGTAATGAACAGCCACCAAACCATTTCAACTCCAGTTTGCAAGGAGAAAGATGCCAGGCATGATTTGGACTAAGGTGTACTCAGTAGAGAAAGAGAATTTAATGTCAAGGAGAGGGGTTGTGGGGCAGGGGAAGAGCTTCTGCTTTAGAAGAAGAGAAGAGATTGGATTTATACCCTGCCCCTCACTACCCAAAGGAGTCTCAGAGTGGCTTACAAACGCCTTTCCCCTCCCCTCCCCAAAACAGCCACCCTGTGAGGCAGGTAGGGCTAAAACAGCGCTCTCTCTCTCTCTCTCTCTCTCTCTCTCTCTCTCTCTCTGCGCGGTGCTGCGCTCGCTGTCCTCCCTCTCTCTCTCTCTCTCTCTCTCTCTCTCTCTCTCTCTCTCTCTCTCTCTCGGACTGCTCTTGAGATAACAGCTCTGAGAGAACTTGTGACTGGCCCAAGGTCACACCAGCAGCTGCATGTGGAGGAGGAGTGGGGAATCAAACCTGGTTCTCCCAGATTAGAGTCCGCGCTCCTAACCACGACACCAAACCTGCAGAAGTTGCAAGGTTCAATCCATGGCGTATCCAGTTAAAAGGACCCAGGAGGAGGTGATCTGGAAGACCTCCGCCTGAGACCCTGGAGAGCGGCTGCCGGTCTGACTGACCTGGCTGGACCTTCCACTGAGTCAGTATGAGGCAGCTTCATGTGTGTTCGCAATGCTTCATGTGAAGGCTAAAGGGTGCCTCCTCTGCACTGAATCAGATAAAGCGTTGAAGGGTAAATCCACGGCAGCCTGATCTTTAGACTATGACGACTGGGCCTTCCAGGGCTAGCGACAGACTACTGGGGGGGGGCAGCCCCCAAGGTCCAGCTCTTCTGGGGGGCTCACTGCCGCCGCCCTCCACCCACTCAACTTCCCGGCCACCCACCTGCTTGGTGTGAGCCTTCCCAGCTGCATTCACTGCCCAACATTGTCAGGGAAGAAGAAGAAGAAGAAGAGGAAGAGGAGGAGGAGGAGGAGGTTGGATTTATACCCCGCCTTTCACTACCTGAAGGAGTCTCAGAGCGGTTTACAAACTCCTTTCCCTCCCCCTCCCCACAACAGACACCCTGTGAGGTCGGTGGGGCTGAGGGAGCTCTGACAGAAACGGCTCTTTTTCAAGGACAGCTCTGACAGAACTACGGCTTGCCCAAGGTCATCCAGCCAGGTGCAAGTGGAGGAGAGCCAGTTTGGTGTAGTGGTTAAGTGCGCGGACTCTAATCTGGGAGAACCGGGTTTGATTCCCCACTCCTCCACTTGCACCTGCTGATGTGACCTTGGGTCAGTCACAAGCTCTGGCAAGAGCTGTCCTTGAAAAAGAGCAGTTCCTGTCAGAGCTCTCTCAGCCCCGCCTACCTCCCAGGGTGACTGTTGTGGGGAGGGGAAGGGAAAGGAGTTTGTAAGCCGCTCTGAGACTCCAAGTGAAGGGCGGTGTATAAATCCAATCTCTTCTTCTTCTTCTTCTTCTTCTTTCTTCTTCTTCTTTCTTCTTCTTCTTTCTTCTCCTTCTTTCTTCTTTCTCCTTCTTCTTCTTCCTCCTTCCTTCTTCTTCCTCCTTCCTTCTTCTTCCTCCTTCCTTCTTCTTCTTCCTTCTTCTCCTTCTTCCTTCTTCCTCTTCCTCTTCTTCTTCTTCTTCTTCTAACCCAGTTCTCCCAGATTAGAGTCCGCACACTTAACCACTACACCAGACTGGTCGGCAAGCACTGGGAAATGAGCAAGTGGGTGAGGGAAGGATAGGGGGCTAGGCTGTGTGGGGAGGAGAATGCAGGGAGGTGGACAGGGAGGTGTGAGTCGGAGGTCACAACAGCAAGCAGAGGAGGGGAAGCCCCCCCCCCCGGGCACTCTCTGTCCAGGGCCCACTGAAACCTGGAACCGGCCCTGGTGCCTTCAGGTCCTTTGAGATATTTCAGCCATGCCACAGCTGCTGAATTCCACCCCCAATACACACACCCTTGCTGCTCCCTGCTTCTTGGTGCAGTGGTTTAAGAGCGCGGACTCTAATCTGGGAGGACCCGGTTTGATTCCCCACACCTCCGTTGGCAGCTGCTGGATGACCTTGGGCAAGCCATGGTTCTGTCAGAGCTGTTCTTGAAAAAGAGCCGTTTCTGTCAGAGCTCTCTCAACCCCACCTACCTCACATGGAGGAGAAGGGAAAGGAATTTGGAAGGCGCTCTGAGACTCTGAGTGAAGGTAGGGGTATAAATCCATTCTCTTGCACACTGCAAGCTCTTTGGGGCAGGGTACTATCTGCATTCCTTATAAAGTGCCAGGGCATCGCCATAAGTGAATCAGGAAATGTGAGGTTTGACCCAGACGAGGCACCACTGAGATCCCGCCACTTAACTGAGCCACGTCGTAGCATTCAAGCTGAAGCAGGTAGTAGCCCCAAAGTTGCCTTGCCAAAAATATTAAATGCGAGGTGCCAATGCTTCCTGGCCTCAGGAGCCAGGGGAGACAGCTGTTTCCTGACCTTGGGAGCCACCGAAACTGTCTGTCCCGTGGCCCTTTTCTCGGGTCACCCACGACCGCTGGGCACCTGGCTTTTTGTACCCCTGAATAAATCTCAATTCAAAAATCTCGCATGTGAGTTTTTCATTGTGAAACCCAATCCCACCCCCCCACCCCCATTCCCAGCCTAAACCCAGTTTTCTGGCCCTTAAGAGCATTCCCATACTCTTTCTCTCTCTCTCTGTCTCCTGGCAGCAATTGCCTAGTGTGTGTGGGGGGGGGGGTTGCGCACACAGCTTTTGTGGCGCCAGTGGTGACAGGGTGCGGCAAACACAAGCCCCGCTTGCCCCCGACGCTGCACCACATCTAAGCAGAATTCATCTTGCGTTTTTCAACAGTGGCAACAACGGCGGGCTCTTCTGCAGTGCGCAGACGGGGACCTGGCAGCTTTGCTCCAAATTAGCTTAACGAGGAGCAGCCTGAAGGATGGGCAGCCGAGGCATGCCAAGAGACGGGACCGACCGAGGGACGCCGACGTCAGCTCTGCGAAGGCTCTCCTCGGCTGCTTCCAGACAGGGACGATTCCCCACTGAGCATTTGTAAGAGCAGAGGAACAACCTATGGGGAGGACTGGCCAGGCTTTGCTCAGTTTCCCCTCATGCTCACCACGCCAACCTCCCGTGCACTGCTGGATGGTTTCTGCCTTCCTTTTAAAAGTTAGCAGCTTTATCACCTTTTATCATAGAATCATAGAATGTTAGAGTTGGGAGGGACCTTGCAGGTCATCTAGTCCAACCCCCTGCACTCTGCAGGAGCAGAGCCGAAAGAGAGCCCTACATACCTACAACAGACCCGAAAGATGGTCATCCAGCCTCCTCTTAAAAACACCCAGCGAAGGAGCATCCACCACCTCCCGAGGCAGACTGTTCCACTGCTCAACCACTCTTACAGTTAGGAAGTTTCTCCTGATACTTAGCCGGTATCGACTCCCTTGTCATTTCCACCCATTAGATCTAGTCTTGCAATCCGGAGCAAGAGAGAATAGATCCGCTCCATCTTTTACATGACAGCCCTTTAGATATTTGAAGACTGCAATCATGTCCCCGCTGAGCCTTCTCTTTCCCAGGCTAAACAGACCCAACTCTTTCAGCCTTTCCTCGTCAGACTTGGACTCCAACCCTCTCACCATCCTGGTTGCCCTCTTCTGGACACGCTCGAGCTTGTCAACACCCTTCCTAAAATGTGGTGCCCCAAACTGGACACAGGACTCCAGGTGAGGCCTGACCATAGCAGAATAGAGCGGAACCACCACCTCCCGTGATCTGGACACAATGCTTCTGTTAATGCATCCTAAGATTGCATTAGCTTTCTTTGCAGTCACATCGCACTGCAGGCTCATGTTTAGCTTGTGATCAACCAGAACACCTAGATCCCTTTCACATGTGCTGCTGTCAAGCCAAGTCCCTCCCATTCTATATCTGTGCCTTTGATTTTTTGTACCTGAGTATAGGACTTTGCATTTCTCTCTATTGAAATTAATTTTATTTGTCTCAAATTTTATGATGCTACAGTGACTACTGACGTCTTTGAAAAAGCCCCTGGTGGCACAGGAATGTGGGGGGGGGGGTGCAAGGGGCTACAGAGGGAAAATGGTGCCAATCTGGGCACGAAGGTCTGAGAATGCACACTGTCCTGCCCACGCAACGGGCAATGGTGCCTTGACTGCGACCGAACCAAAGCAGGTCTGAGAGAGACTGCAGTGAAGCAATGGGGCAGGTGGACAACTGCATGATCGTGTGGGGCAGAGGTGCTCAGGAGGCGAGCTGTGTGGAAGCCGCCCTGGTGTTGAAAGCCAGAGGTGCTGCACGTCTGAGGCCAGATGTGCACAGAGCCACACAGGGCTGGCTTTGATGGCCGACTACACGGTGCAGCCATGGGTGTGCTTCTATCCCGACACCATCTCTTCCACCAGCCTTTTGCAATCACATCATCATTCTACAGGGAATATCTCAGAAACGCTTTCACAGAGGTTTCCATCCCTAAGTCTGACTTGGAACGGAGGGGGAGGGGCAATACAGTTTGACCGAATATGATTTGGGCGCTCTGGATCAATGAATCGCGAAGCCCTTGGCAATACAAGTGGGTATTTCTAACCCCACGTTTCCTTTCCTCCTTTCGTTTGGGGGCACCATTACTGTCCGAACCCACAGCCAACAACGGAGTACACGCTTTCAAGAAAGGTTCAGTAGTTCAGCAGTTCGAGCCCCGAGTGTGCCGCATGTTGGAGTGAGCTCCCATCTCTAGTTCCAGCTCCTGCCAACCCAGCAGTTCAAAAGCAAGAAATTGCAAGTAGATAAATAAGTACCACTTTGGTGGGAAGGGAACAGCATTCCGTGCGCCTTGGTGTTTAGTCATGCCGGCCACATGACCACGGAAACGTCTTCGGACAGCGCTGGCTCTTCAGCTTTGAAACGGAGATGAGCACCGCAACCCTAGAGTCGGACTCGACTGGCTTTCGAGCAAGGGAACCTTTACCTTTTTATAGATGCATTCACATAGTCACTGTTAAGAATGGCAGTTGTCCCTTGGACATAATAAGATATAGGGCATTCGTATGCACACACACACCCCCACTGCGCTGGCCAATTAGGCACCCTCCCGCGCGCGGGATGAAGCTAGCAAATGGTTTCTAGGCAAAGCTGGGAATGGTCCGACTCCCACGGCTGCCTGGAAAGGAAGACAACACACACTCCCACCTGCACAGCGTTTCGGGGCAAAGCAGAGACAGGAATGCGAAAGCAATTTACACAGACTCTGACTGAGCCTCCCCACCCCCATGGCAGCATAGCTGACACATTACCTGGGCAGGAAGGAGAGGTTCTTTGTCATCGATCTCAATAAGAACATCGTCTCGAGGGGTGAGGCTCACATCATCTGCAACACATAAAACGTGCAAAGGGCAAGGTGACGGGGTGGCTGGGTGGACCAATCCGGTATCAAGGGGCCATCTTTGTCCTCGGTCTCACGACTGGCTCATTCAAGCGGACTTCCTTCAGAAGATCTGCACTGGTCAGAGCCACCTCGGAAATGGCTCCGCTGGTCTCTGCACAACTATTCAGCCCATCTGAAGGATTCTTCTTCCGTCAGTGGGCTGAACCAAGGGCAATCATTTGGGGCACGTTATATCATGCACAAGAGAGGCTCAAAATATACAAGCCCCTGGGCAGCCAGCATTGGCATCAAAAACGGTTGTGAGAAGTGGTCTTTCCTCAGGTTGCTGACTGAGCTCGGTGATGGCCACAGGAATAAACAGCTTGAAAAGGGGATCGGATGGATTCATGGGGTGCGGTCAGACGGCGCGCTGGGAGCGGTTTAAATTGCTCCGGCCCTGATGTGGTCTTTTCTAACCTGGAGAATTGCGATCACGCTCACCTCCTCGCTCCGGATCGCTGTGCTGTTGTTGTTTTTTCTCTCTCATTTTGGTCATGCGCACAGGCAGCCATCTGTGGAACTAAAAGTTTTGCGCCTGCGCAGAACAGCGATTTCCACTTCAACCTGACTGCTGTAACGCTTCCCTTTAAACTTTAAAGGAACACTTCCCTTTAAACGTTTACTGCCGAAAATGGCCTCTGTGAGATCCCGAACTCGGCTAAACGCTAAAACTAGGCACTGTTTAAACATTGTTTTTTAATAACCCTGTGGTGGACCGCCGCCTATGCGCACACCACCAACGCTTTTTAAAAAAATGGCGGGTGAAAAGCGGAAGCCTCGGACAGCTTTCGAGCGGGGAGGGGGTTTAAACCGGAAGTGGCTCGACACCGGAGGCATGATCACACGGGGGGGAGGAATGTGGCTGGAAACGGAGAAATCAGGAATACACCACTTGGGGACCTGGTATCAAAATACTCTGGGTTAAAGCTGTTTTGAGCCAGAAAGTGATGGCTGGGGATGGGAGGCAGATGTTGACTATGTGATCGCGCAGATAAAATCCGTTTCTGAGGCAGGCCAAACACGGACTAAACGGCCCGTCTGACCGCACCCACTGAGGATAAATCTATTGACTGCTACAAGCCCTGGTCACCGAAGGGAACCTCCACTTTCAGAATCCCACTTTCAGAATCCCTGCCCTGTTGTTGGCCCTCCAGAGGAACTGGCTGGCCCCTGTGTGAGACGGGATGCTGGACTGGATGGACCCTCCCTGGTCTGACCCAGCAGGGCTCTTCTGAGGTTCTTCTCAGGGGAAGGCCTCGGCCTCTCTGCCCTGTTGCTGGCCCTCCAGAGGAACAGGTTGGCCACCGTGTGAGATGGGAGGCTGGACTGGATGGACCCTCCCTGGTCTGATCCAGCAGGGCTCTTCTGATGTCCTTATCAGGGGAAGGCCTCGGCCTCTCTGCCCTGTTGTTGGCTATCCAGAGGAACTGGCTGGCCCCTGTGTGAGACAGGATGCTGGACTAGATGGACCCTCCCTGGTCTGATCCAGCAGGGCTCTTCTGAGGTTCTTATCAGGGGAAGGCCTCGGCCTCTCTGCCCTGTTGTTGGCTATCCAGAGGAACTGGCTGGCCCCTGTGTGAGACAGGATGCTGGACTAGATGGACCCTCCCTGGTCTGATCCAGCAGGGCTCTTCTTATGTTCTTATGTCAGGGAGAAACTCTTCTCCCTTTCCCATAATACTAGAACCCAGGATCAACCACTGAAGCTGAAGGGCGGGAGATTTAGGAGAGACACAAAGAAGTAGATCTTCACACAGTGCATAGTTGAGTTGTGTAACTCACTGCCACAGGTTGGGGTGATGACCGCCAGCCTGAGAGGCTTTAAAGGGGGAGCGGACAAATTCATGGAGGACAGCGCTGTCAATGGCTACTCGTCACTCCATCCAGTACCAAAAGCAGTGTGCTGTTTTATATCAATTGCTGGGTAGCACAGGGGGCAGGAGGGTGCTGTTGCAGTCATCCTGCTCGTAGGCTTCCTAGAGGCAGCTGGTTGTCCACTGTGAACAAAATGCTGGACCTGGATGGGCCTTTGGTCTGATCCAGCAGGGCTCTTACGTCCTTAGTAACTGGAAAGGGGACGATTCCACTGAGACCCTCAACATGCCTCACAAAATAATATTAAAAATATGCCCTAAAACTCTCACAGCCAAGTTTAAGAATGTCTGTCTGCTTGCTCCAGAAGGGCACGCGGGCTCCCCCTTGGAGACTACCTGTTCTGGTAACAGAAGGACCACGGCACTGACCATGGCGTGAGGACACATGGAGACACCTCCAAACCTGCTCATTTCTAGGCTGAACAAATGCCCGAGTCCCTCTGCCGTACCTAGATGGGTCGCAGCAAATTCCGCCTCCTCCGCGTAGGGGTCGCAGTAGAACTCCTCCAGGGAGCGGATGGTGCACTGCCCCACCACGGGCTTGCGGCCAAACGGCCTGTTGTCAATGATTTTGATGGAGATGGGTGGGCAGTACAGGTCTTCCCTGGGCAAGCGCTGGAGAGAGAGAGAGAGAGCCGAATCAGCACCAGAGTCAGGGCAGAGAGACGGGAGGGGGGATTCTCTCAAGAGCAGCAGGTCAGTTGCTGGGGAAAGAGACGGGGCGCGGGCTGGAACGGGATGCCTGAGGCTGCTGGGGGAGAGAGCTGAAAAAGCCCACCCAACCATTCCTTCAATGAAATTGCTGAGCAGTCGGGTTAGAACGGATAACAGGAAGTCCTCCTTCACCCAAAGAGTGAGTCACACGTGGAATTCATTGCCACAGGAGGTGGTGGCGGCTACAAGCATGGACGGCTTCAAAAGGGAATTAGATAAGCATATGGAGCAGAGGTCCATCAGTGGCTATTAGCCACAAGGTATAGATAGGGGCTCTCAGTCTAGGGCAAGGGATGCACTGTATTCTTGGTTCTTGGGCAACAGTGGGAGGGCTTCTAGTGTCCTGGCCCCACTGGTGGACCTCCTGATGGCCCCTGGTATTTTTGGCCACTGTGTGACACAGAGTGTTGGACTGGATGGGCCTTTGGCCTGATCCAACATTGGCTTCTCTTATGTTCTTGTGTCTGGGGCAAGGGATGCTCCGTATTCTTGGTTCTTGGGGGTGGGGGGTCAACAGTGGGAGGGCTTCTAGTGTCCTGGCCCCACTGGTGGACCTACTGACAGCACCTGGTATTTTTGGCCAATGTGTGACACAGAGTGTTGGACTGGATGGGCCATTGGCCCTGCCTATGGACTACCCAGAGCCATTTACTCAGCCTATGTTGGGCACAGGATGCTGGGCTTAATCCAGCTGGCCACAGACACATGTGCATGCACACACGCAAACACATGCACACAGAGAGGCACACAGCCATTCAAATCCTAGAATCATAGAATTGGAAGGGGCCATACAAATCATCTAGTCCAACCCCCTGCCCAGTGCAGGACCAGCCTAGAGCATCTCTGATAAATATTCCTCCAGCCTCTTCTTGAGAGCTGCCAGTGAAGGGGAGCTAAACACCTCCCGAGGCAGCCGTTCCACCTTTGAACCACTCTGACCCTGAAAAAGTCTTTCCTAATCTCCAGCCGATACCTTTCTGCATGTGATTTAAACCCGTTGCTTTGGGTCCTCTCCTCTGCTGCCAACTGGAACAGCTCCTTGCCCCCCTCCTCCAAACGACAGCCTGTCAAATATTTAAAGAGAGCGGTCGTGTCCCCCCTCAGTCTCCTCTTCTCCAAACTAAACATTCCCAAGGCTCTCAGCCTTTCCTCGTAGGGCTCAGTCCCCAGACCCCTGATCGTCCTCGTCGCTTTCTTCTGCACCCTCTCGATTCTGCCCACATTGACGCCGTGCATGACAACTACAGTGTTCTGATGAGTGTGCTGGCCCACAAGCGATTGTTTGGTTAAGGCCATCGTGCTCACTGTCTGGCAATTGTGCAGAGGTGGGGGAAGGGCAGGGCTCGTGCGCTCACACCCACTCCCCCCTCCTCTCCATGCATTGAAAATGACACATGTGCTGTAGTCTTCTGCGCATACCCTGAGCCTGACGACCTGCACTTGGGCTGGATTCTTCCTGAACGCTTAGAAGCTGTGATGCGGGTGATGCCCCCTGTTCCCCATAGGGATTTGCTTTCTCCTGTTGGCTTAAGTGCACTGTAAGAATTGCTTTCTCCTGTTGGCTTAAGTGCACTGTAAGAATTGCTTTCTCCTGTTGGCATAAGTGCACTGTAAGAATTGCTTTCTCCTGTTGGCTTAAGTGCACTGTAAGAATTGCTTTCTCCTGTTGGCTTAAGTGCACTTCTCCACCGGCTCAGCAGGGGTGCGACGATACTGTCCCATGGGAACAGAAGACGGAGACCCAGAAGCCCTGTGAGGAAAGGCTGAGGGACTTGGGAATGTTCAGTCTGGAGAAAAGGAGGTTGAGAGAGGACAGGATGGCTCTCTTGAAGTATCTGAAGGGCTGTCCCTTAGAGGAGGGCAGGGAGCTGCTTTGTGAGCTCCTGGCATTAAGGTTGTGAGTGAGTGATTTGGCTGCTGCATAAATTAGTTTGCTCGGGAGCCCCTCCTTCCTGGGCTAAGAGAAAAATATGCAAGCCGGAGGCTAAAAAACTGAGCTAGCTCACACTAACTCAGCTTAGAGGGAACACCGCTGGCAAGAATGGGTTTAAAGGAAAAGCGGGACCAGCTGGATCTTAGGGGAAACTTTTTGACAGTCAGTGTTGTGCAAGAGTGGAATCGGCTGCCTGGGGGGGTGCTGAGCTCCCCCCTCCCTGGCTGTCTTTAAGCAGCGGCTGGACAAACCCTTGTCAGGGATGCTCAAGGCTGATCCTGCATCGAGCAGGGGGTGGGGCGAAATGACCCTGGAGGTCCCTTCCAACTCTGTGATTCTACGTGTGACTGTGAGCTCAGTTAGGCAACCCCTACCCTGACTTGACCCCGGAGAGCAGCTATCAGTCTGAGTAGACAATACTGGCATGGATGGACAGATGGCCTGATTCCGTATAAGGCAGCTTCACGTGTTCAACTCTCTCAATCTGGAGCTGTGGCATCTTCCTCATCAGAAATATTTAAAATCCTAACTATAAATACACGTTGATGGGGTCTGAACGGGCAGAGACTGATCAAGAGAGAGATCTTGGAGTTGTAGTGGATAACTCACTGAAAATGTCGAGACAGTGTGTGACTGCAACAAAGAAGGCCAATGCTATGCTGGGGATTATTAGGAAGGGTACTGAAAACAAATCAGCCAATATCATAATGCCCCTATATAAATCAATGGTGCGAACTCATCTGGAATACCGTGTGCAGTTCTGGTCACCACACCTTAAAAAGGACATTATAGCTTTGGAAAAAGTGCAGAAAAGGGCAACTCGAATGATAAAAGGGTTGGAACACTTTCCCTATGAGGAAAGGTTAAGGCGCTTAGGGCTCTTTAGCTTGGAGAAACGACGACTGAGGGGTGACATGACTGAGGTTTATAAGATTATGAGTGGGATAGAGCAGGTAGAGAAAGAGGTCCTTTTCTCCCTTTCTCACAATACAATAACTCGTGGGCACTCCATGAAATTGCTGATCGGTCGGGTTAGAACGGATAAAAGGAAGTACTTCTTCACCCAAAGAATGATGAACACACGGAATTCACTGCCACAGGAAGTGGTGGCAGCTACAAGCATGGACGGCTTCAAAAGGGAATTAGATAAGCATATGGAGCAGAGGTCCATCAGTGGCTATTAGCCACAAGGTATAGATAGGGGCTCTGGGGCAAGTGATGCTCTGTCATCTTGGTGCTTGGGGGGGTCAACAGTGGGATGGCTTCTAATGTCCTGGCCCCACTGGTGGACCTCCTGATGGCACCTGGTATTTCTGGCCACTGTGTGACACAGAGTGTTGGACGGGATGGGCCTTTGGCCTGATCCAACATTGGCATCTCTTATGTTCTTATGTTCTTAGAATCAGGCCTGCATCACGGAGTCCTCCTGGGATAAGGAGTGGACTCATCCAAACCGGAACAGAGGTGGAGGAGTAACAACAAGACTCCAAGAGCGGGCATGAGCGCAGAAGGAAAGAGCCGGCAGAGGCCCCCTGGTCTCTCACCACTTCCATGAAGAGGACGGAGACGTCAAAGTTGGGGTTCTTCTTCAGGTTCCTGATGACGCACGACTGGACCATCTGTCCCCCACACTCCACCAGGAGACTGGGGGAAGTGACGCTGGAGAGCTGGTAGCTCTTCACGTTCCGGAGCCCCCAGGCCAAGATCTACACTTGGGAAGAACAAGAAACAGAGATAATAAAGAGCAACTTGCGTTTCAGAGGGGAGGTGTCTTGGTCTCCAGCAGAACACCTAGGTTCAAGTCCGGTGACACCTTTGGAAGTTTTAAATCTCGAAAGCGTATACCCCCCAAAAAAATCTCGTTGGTCTCCTAGGTGTCAATGGACTCGAAAACACCAACTTGCCAAATGCAACCACAGAGCAAACGAGAACTGTGTTCAGGTCTTGACCACATGAAGCGCGGTCAACTCATCTCGACTTATTCACTATCCGACATGCCTACGGGACCGCCTTTCCCCGCATATACCCCAGAGAGCACTACGGCCAGGGTCTCAAAATCGGCTGACACTCCTGGGCCCCAAGGAGGCCAGACTGGCTACTACCAGGGCCAGGGCCTTTTCAGTGGTGGCCCCGTCCTGGTGGAACGAGCTCCTGGAGAAGATCAGGGCCCTGTGGGATCTGTTACAGTTCCGCAGGGCCTGCAAGACGGAGCTCTTCCGCCAGGCGTTTAGTTAGGGAGCCGTCACTGCTATAGAGTCCTGGCCCTTGGCATCGAGCCGGCACCGCAGGGAATCACAAGCGGAGCATCTGGGAGAGCCATCTTGGATAATTAATTAATTAATTACTTGCTATAAGTACTTTGTGAATCTGTATCTGTTTTAACTGCTGGGGTTTTTAATATGATTGTATGATGTTTTAACTGTTGCGTGGAAGCCGCACTGAGCCTGCTTTGCAGGGAGGGTGGAGTATGAATGAGACAAATAAATAAATAAATAAATATTTGTTTAGCAAGTGGGTTGGGGCTCTGAAGACCCTTTACCCCCAAGTGGCTCTGGGAAGCAGCTGGAATCTCACCGCTTTGCATCTCCCAATTGATCCAGGCAACTCTTCTCTCATGAATCTAAACCCTGCTGTCAGAATTGTCTTTTCGCAAGCTGACACAACCAGATGGTAAACACCACGTCTGCTTACGGGAGCATTTTCTGGGGGCCCCAGTAGTCAATGAAGTTCTTGCGTGGTCTTCGACACTCACCTCAATGGCTGTACGTTGAAGAACTGGTTTGATTCCTTGAGGGACCATGTAGATGTTGGGTTCTCGCTGCGGCGGGGGGTAGGGCAGATCCAGATCTGCAGACTGGGGCAGGGAGAGAGAGGGAAAAGCCAAAGGAGGTGTTAACCTGCTTTCACGTGCCAAGGGAAATCCAAAGTAGACTTGCTCACTCCTCACCCTCTTATAGTGGAAATCAAAGTATCTTAAGGCCTTTTACAATCAAAAGGCTGCACACGATAACAGAGACTTAAGAGCCGGTTTGGCATAGTGGTTAGGAGTGCGAACTCTGATCTGGGAGAACCTGGTTTGATTCCCCACTCCTTCTCCACATGCAGCTGCTGGTGTGACCTGGGGTCGGTCACAAGTTCTCTCAGAGCTGTTTTCCAGGAATAGTCCTTGAAAGAGCTCTCTCCATCCCATCTACCTCACAGGTGTCTGTTGTAGGGAGGGGAAGGGAAAGGAGTTTGTAAGCCACTCTGAGACTCCCTCGGGTAATGAAGGGCAGGGTATGAATCCAATTTCTTCTTCTTCTCCTCTTATAGAATCATAGAATGTTAGAGTTGGAAGGGACCTTGCAGGTCATCTAGTCCAACCCCCTGCACTCTGCAGGAGCACAGCCGAAAGATAGCCGTTTCTGTCCTACACTACATACCTACAACATACCCGAAAGATGGTCGTCCAGCTCATCATTGCACTTCAAAATACCACCATGTTAAGTCCAAAAGAACAAAACGCAATACATTCTTAGTTCTTCATTTGCAAAACAATTGGAAGAAAAATCAAACTAACAATTATGGACCAAGCCAGCAATCCATCAGTAGGGTGGCTGCAACAGTTGGCAGATCAGCCAAAGTCATGAGCGCACACCGTAATACGGACGTGTTGAAAAAGGCCTGCAGAATTGTGCCGGATATTGGGGGTGGCATCACCGTCACTGGCCAATCAGTGCTGTCCAGGTACAACTCTCGCATAGTCAAAAGGATCGCTCCGAGGGCTGCGCGAGATGTTATCTGACCTTGGAAACCTGCGTTTGGAACCTTCTGCAGTTCCCTAAAAGCACTACTTGGAGGGCTCTTCAGACTGGGGCCACAGCCCTGGGGAAGGGGTCGATCCTTTTTCCCTGCACCATTTTCCTAATTTCAATTGTCTCGGTTGCCCAGATAAACTATTTGCACAAAAGGGAACGACATACAGGTCGGCTCATATTATCTGTACAGGAAATAAGTCTGGGAGGGGAGGAGGGTTAATCCCTCCCCAACAACAACTGGGCCTTAGGGTCGTCAGACCTCCCACCCTTCTGCCAGCGGCCCTTTCTCCCCACAGCTGCTCTCTCTCACTCTCCATCCTTGCCCCCCCCTCAAACATACATAAGAACAGAAGAGACGCCAATGTTGGATCAGGCCAAAGGCCCATCCAGTCCAACACTCTGTGTCACACAGTGGCCAAAAATACCAGGGGCCATCAGGAGGTCCAGCAGTGGGGCCAGGACACTAGAAGCCCTCCCACTGTTGACCCCCCCCAAGCACCAAGAATACAGAGCATCCCTTGCCCCAGACATAAGAACATAAGAGAAGCCAATGTTGGATCAGGCCAAAGGCCCATCCAGTCCAACACTCTGGGTCACACAGTGGCCAAAAATACCAGGGGCCATCAGGAGGTCCAGCAGTGGGGCCAGGACATTAGAAGCCCTCCCACTGTTGCCCCCCCCAGGCACCAAGAAGACAGAGCATCACTTGCCCCAGACAGAGAGTCCCTATCTATACCTTGTGGCTAATAGCCACTGATGGACCTCTGCTCCATATGCTTATCTAATTCCCTCTTGACGCCGTCCATGCTTGTAGCTGCCACCACTTCCTGTGGCCGTGAATTCCATGTGTTCATCACTCTTTGTTACAAAACTGCTTCATATTGAATCAGACCACGGGCTCACTGGTTGTGCCCATTTCGTCTAACAGCAGCTCTCATTCGGTGACGGTTTTTTTTTTGCCTTTTCCACCTCGTATTCTCTGAGACGTGTTCAGTGGAGATGCAAGGACTGTACCGTGGGCCTCCTGCCGCGCAAGCAGGGGCTCTACCACAGAGCCACGGTTCTTCCCAAGAGTGAATCTGGGTTCATCCTGACCTTGATCCTTTCTTGAGTTTAGAGTCTCCAAAGCAAAGCAAATCCCTCCGGGGGAAATAAGAAGGCGCCCTTTAACCAAGGGCAGTTGGAAACAATTTAGGAGGCAGTCGGCTCTTGCCAAGCGAAAGCATTATTGCATTAAATTAAGCAGGCGTATATATTTCAAACGCCGGATCAGGTCGTATTTATTTATAGGACCCTCTATATGTGCGTTTAATGAGACTGCAGAGGGAGGGCCGCCCGGCGGTGGCCCGCCAGAGGCACTCGGAGTTAAGTGGCAATTTTCCTCGGAGGTTGCCAGGAGCTGCCAGATCAAAACGGCTTGTTGTGAGTGACAGCTTCGTCAGCCCCACCCCGGGGGTAATTAGAACCACAGATGCATCCCTGCGTGGGGGACAACAGATCTCAAGAGCGGAGGGTCCAGTTGGGATAACACGCAGACGGCATCCACGGCTGTGGTGCAGGAGACGCAAAGGCAGCCCTTTGGGGAGGTGCGCACGTCGCAGCCACCCCTCGGGAAAGGAGGATGCCACTCTGCGCAGCAGACACAAGGCCTCTTCCGGAGCCCCGGGCACAGCTCTGGTCGCCCTCGGTCGAGGAAGGCCCCGGAAAGCCAGCAGGGCAGCATTAGGAGGGAGACAGAGGAGCAGAAGGATTCCCTAGCAGGGTGTGCACTCTCCGGAAAGGGCAAGCTGGCCAGGCCAAAGCACCCCGCTGGAGGACCTCAGTGCTTGTCCGGCATCTCGTTTAAACTGGGCTGCTAACAGGGCTGCCAGCACTGGCCTGGTGGTACCTCTGAGGGCTTGTAGCTTGGTGGCAGAGCACCTGGCTTGCATGCAAAAGGTCCCAGGTTCAATACCCGGCATCTCAAGTAGGCAGTAGGTGATGTGAAAGACCTTTCTCTGCCAGAGACCCTGCATAGGAGCTGCTAGTCTCAGTAGACAGTACTGACTTTGAGGAACCAAGGGTCGGACTAAGGCAGCTTCCAGTGTTCATGGGAGATTTTTCTAGAAGGAGGAGGAGGAGGAGATTGGATTTATACCCCATGGCCCTTCACTACCCAAAGGTGGCTCAGAGCAGCTTACAAACTCCTTCCCCTCCCCACAACAGACACCGTGTGAGGTAGGTGGGGCTGAGAGACCTCTGACAGAAACTGCTCTTTTTTCAAGGACAGCTCTTATCAGAACTATGGCTTGCCCAAGGTCATCCAGCCAGGTGCAAGTGGAGGAGTGGGGAATCAAACCCGGTTCTCCCAGACGGAGCTCTTCCGCCAGGCTTTTAATTAGGAGCCGCCACTCCCACCTTCACCAACTACCGCAAGGGACGGCCCAATATAAAACTTTACAGTACCACGATGGATCTGCCCCGGGTTAATATCCCCCGGGTTAATATTCTTAAGGCTTCATCTTGATTTGATTGCAGCAATAAGATCACCGAGCACTTTATTAATGTTAAATTGATTGTTTTATTTTGTTTTTAATGTTTTATACTGGCACTTGGTGCCCTTGTTGTGAGCCGCCCTGAGCCCGCTTGCGGGGCGAGCGGGAAAAAAATGTGAGAAATAAATACAATAAATAAATAAATATCTCCGCAACCTGGCATGTCATTTTATGACACACGTGGCCCGGCCCAACAAGGTCTCGTTTATGCCAGATCCGGCCCTCATAACAAAAGAGTTTGACACCCCTGGTCTAGAGTGAGCCCTGCAGAGATTTCCCTAGGGCATCGGCTTGGTCTTTGGGACAAGGGCCCCAACCCACAAAGAATGCAGCACACTGCGTACAGTCCAGAACAGACGTTGGATGTCCACAGAGATGTTCCACCGCTGGTGTAATGTACTCCTGGCACGCACACATACATGCACAAACACACACACAAGGTATTCATTTAGCCGGCTTTCCATCTCTATCTCAACTTTTCCCAAGGGCTTGGAGTGAGTAATAAGAGTTTAGAACTCAAACGAAAACCCACATATTAAAAAAACCCTCAATTAAATTAGAATGCTCCTACATGTGCGGAATCTTCAAGGCTGCCATCCAGTTCAAAGGGGAACACGGGCCAGCCCTTGCAGAAGGCACAGAGGCCGAGACGTTGAGCGACAGAACAGAGTCCAGGGGCACCTTTAAGATCAATAAAGCTTAATTCTGGGTATCATCGAACCCCAGCCTGACAACTGGGTACTGGAAGAACTGTGCGGGCGCGTGAGAGCTGATGCCCGGGATAAAACTCTGTTGGTCTTAAAGGGGCCACCAGACTCAAACTCTGTTCTAGCCCAACAATTAGGGGAAAGTAAGTCTGGAAAGTAACTGTGCCTTCCAGGAAGCCAAGGACAACCTCATGTCAGGCTCAATGTTCACTAGCATGCATTACACGAACCCCGCCCTTAAATGCTGTTGTGACTCATCCTGTACCTGTGGAATGGAGGAAGGCAGAACATTAAACATTTAAATCGACGTGTTTTATTGATGAAATGTTGAACCACGGATTTCTAAAAGTCTCCAGCGGCATCGGGGAAGCGCGCTGGTCTCATCCTGGCCTCTAGCGGTTCGGGGCATCATGGGGGTGTTCACATGGCATTATTTCCACTGGTGGAAATCAATGCTCCCTCTAAGCTGTGGAGTCTTTTTTATATATATATAATTATATTTATTGGTTTTTATAAGCCTATATTGAACAATCATACAAATTCAATGAAAGGTTGCAAGCATACAAAATCCCCCAACAGCATTTGTCCATTCTAGCAACACAGAATATCCCAAACAACACGCCCACAATATATATTTTGTTCTTATCATCCTTCTCAATCTCAATTCTATGTGGAGTCTTGTGAGCAAAGATTCTACTTTGTGAGCTGCTGTCATTAAAGTTGTGAGCGGGCGATTTGGCTGCCGCACGAATCAGTTTCCTCCGGAGCCCTCCTTCCTGCGCTAAGACGAAAATCTGAGAGCCGGAGGCTAAAACACTGTGAGCTAGCTCACACTAACTCAGCTTAGAGGGAAGAATGGTGGAAAAACCTCTCCCCCCCAACCCAACATCCCCCGGCCCTTGTTGAATTCATTCATTAACTGATTACAAGCTGAACTGTTAATTGTCTCAGTGATCGTGAACAGGCTGGTAATAAATAGAGCCAAGCTAGGATTATTCATAACCTGCCCAGATGACAGGTTTGCTGCTGGGACGGGAAGGAAAGGGAAGTCAGGTCAATGACAGGGCTGGGGGCTTAGAGGCAGGGAAGGAAGGAAGGAAGGAAGGAAGGAAGGAAGGAAGGAAGG